GGAAGCATCTTAGCACTGGCATGGGTCTCCATGTGGTTCCTCCAGATCCAGGGCTCTGGCTCCATCAGCCTGGCTCCATGTGACTTATCAACAGAAATGTCTCACAGGGAGTGTGTGTGTCCCACCTCCCAGGAGGAAGACAGGAGTTCCCAGAATCCTCAGGAGAAGGCCCTGCCCACACAGAGGCCTCATGGGCTATGACCTGATTGACAGGCTAGACTCCACCCCTTTGCTCAAATTGACAGGAGATTACATACCTGTTGCAATCTATTAATGGAGAAATAATATATTTTTGTGATTAAACAGAATTTAAATTATTGGACCAACTTAGCAGTAAAGTTCTGATGACTAGGCTAAGTAAACTAGGTAAACTAGGAAAAAGAGGAGGAATCAGGAGTCCTCTCCCTAATTTTCCTCTCTCTATACCCATTTTCCTTTCACGTCAACTTCCTTTTTTGAATGTCCCAGGACAGCAACTGGCAGGTTGAACACAGAGTCAGAGATCGGACCTGGCCATCTCATTGGCACCTTCCCTCATTGCCCACTGAAACAACGGTTCCCAATTTGGAAAAAAACCATCAGTTGCTTCGAGACCTCTCCTGGTCTGAAAACCAGGGCAGTCTTCCTTGTTCACCTGCCTTTGAGAATGTTGTATGGTGGTCACCAGTATGGGGAGAGTCTTGTAAATGTACAGTTTTGCATAAATATAAGAAGATAGTGTTGTTACTTTTAATATTGGAGTTAATAGAATTTAGGGATGTTCCGTAACTAAGTGAAGAATACCTGTTTCTGTTAGAAATGTGTTTAGGCACTTAAACACATTACTCCTTCCCTCCAGATCATCCACCCCACACTAAAAAATCTGTGTCAGTATATTAGAAAAGCTAACGGATGCTTTAAAAGCTAGCACATTGAGCCATGCTGTCTCATGTGTGAACACTAAGAAAAGCATCTGATCTCACCAACAACCCCAAACCTACTGCCATCAAGTCAATTCCTATTCATAGTGATCCTAGATAGGGTTTCTGAGGCTTTAAATCTCTAGGGGAACAGACAGCCTCGTCTTCTTTCACACAAAGCAGCTGGTGGTTCTGAACTCTGAGCTTGTGGTTAGCACTGCAATGATTACCCAACCGTGCCACCAGGACTCTTGTGCTAGTCTTGGAAATTTAAAAATAGAAAGCACTAATTGTGACAAACTATAAAACTAAAACAAACCACTGCTGTTGGCGTCAGTTCTGACTCATAGTCACCCTATGGCCCATAGTAGAGCTGCCCCCGGGGCTTGCCGGGGCTGTGTGGAACATCTTGTCTCTCTCATGGAGTAGTGTTGTTGTTATTGTTGTTGTTAGGTACCATCAAGTCAGTTCCGATTCAGAGTGACCCTATGCACAACAGAGCAAAACACTGCATGGCTCTGAGCCATCCTTACAAGCCCATTGTTGCAGCCACTGTGTCAGTCCATCTCATTGAGGGTCTACCTCTTTTTCACTGTCCCTCCACTGTATCAAGTATCATGTCCTTCTCCAAGGACCGGTCTCTCCTGACAATATGTCCAAAGTACATAAGATGAAGCTTTGCCATCCTTGCCTCAAAGGAGCACTCTGCCCATATTTCTTCCAAAACTAATGGGTTCGTCCTTTCAATAGTCTTCTCCAGCACCACAATTCAAATGCATCTGTTCTTCTACGGTCTTCCTTATTCGATGTCCAACTTTCACATGCATATGAGGCTTTTGAAAATACCATAGTTTGGGTCAGGCACACCTTAGTCCTCAAAGCAACATCCTTGCTCCTCAGTACTCTAAAGAGGTCTTGTGTCACAGATTTACCTAATACAGCACTTTTTTTTTTAGCTCCTGGCTGCTGTTTCCATGAGCATTGATTGTGAATCTAAGACAAAATCCTTGACAGTTGCAACATTTTCTCCATTTTTCACAGTGTTACCTATTGGTTCAGCTGTGAAACTGAAAGGTTTTTGTCATCTTTACATTGAGTGAGAATCCCTATTGAAGGCTGTAATCCTTGGTAGGTGGGTTCAAATTATAGACAGTTTCGTTAGCTGCCCAATGCTTAACTGACTACACTACCATAGTGCCTTTGACAAACTCCAACTAGAGAAAATTATTAGGTTAAGATTATTCCATATATGTTACATTTGGGATGGAAACATTTGCTTTTTGAACAGTTCTGGGTCTGATAGAATATTTCGAATTGAAAATGCTGTGAAACGTTTCCTAAAGGCTTAAATGTAACTCTCAATTGTGTTCACCAGCTTCTAACTACTGTCCCTACTGGAAAAAAATGATCATGATCATTACAGTGAGATGATATAAGTAAATAAAGTGAGTATAATTAAGTAGGTCAGTGATGAAGCTGAAGATATAAGACACGGCAATTTATTATTTTAGCAATTACATTTATTTAAATGAAACTTGACTATCGCTTAGAGAGCTACACAGTTAAGTAAAATAGATACTTCAAGTAAACAAAGAGAGGGGAAAATGAATTAATGAAGGATCCTCAAGTACAACATGATGAAAAATCTAGTTTATGCTGAAACAGTTTGGAGTAGAATCATCCAGTGTATGATTCTACCCTAAATAGTGGGAAATTCCAAACACACACACACACACACAAATAGGTTTGTATTAATATCCATCATCTTTTGGTATGTATCAACTCACTTTTTTTGTTTTATACACTCTGGTTTAATTTGTCTTTTCATTCTTTTTAATCAGGTAGTCATTGACTCCCAATACTGCTGTACACACTTGACACATGACAAATAAGCGAACTATTACATCAGCCCTTGGGTCTCGTTGAGGAGGCAGACAATATTCAAGTGAACGAACAAACATGAAAGGATACATTGTGGTAAACTGCATAAAGGAAGCTAAGCTACAATGGGGGAGAATGCTGGGGTGGGGGCTGGAGAAGCTGGTTCTGATGGTCAGGGAAGACTCTTGAGGACATTACATTTGACGCCGGAGGATAAGAAGGGGCAACCAGGTAAAGCATGGAGAGAAACAACGAGCAAAAAGTGGAGGTCAAGAAAAATTATTTTTAACAACAGTGTCTATACAGCTCCACGAGGGATAAGGTTGCCCTAAGTGAAGAACTCAGAGGAAATTATAATGGTCAGAGCCCGTAAATGAGAGATAGTAAAAGTAGTTTAAAATGATTTTAGAGATGTAGACAGGACCAGAACAACCTATTAGATAAGTAATTGGAATTTACCCAGAAAGTTCGGAAATAAGCTCCGTGGGAGAAAAGACCTGGTGAGCCCATAAAAATCAGAGCCAAGGAAAAACCCTATGGGGCCATTCGAGGCTGTCTAATGGGTTGCCTACGAGTCTAAATCAGCTCAACAGCTTACAAGAACAACAGAGTAGTGAAAAGAAACATTGCTTGTAACTGAATACTCAACATTGTAATAACTACAAATTCCTATTTTCAATTCAACAACCATCTTTTTTCTATATTGTTAGATATGCCTATCATCCCCCCACCCACCCATTAAAAAAAAAAGATGAGGTTTTTATAGCCTGTATATAATTGGGTTTTGTCCTTTTACTTAGCTTAATAATATCTGTTTTCTCACTGGTATGCTTAGACCGTTTATATTGAATGCAATTATTGGTGTGATTTTTATGAAATTCTGTCATGTTACTAGTTGTTTTCTATTTGTTCCATCTGTTCTTCAGTCATGGCAAAGAGACTACAAGTGAATGCAATTTCCCTTGTAGCTATGATTCCCAGGGGTTTTATACTCGCATGCTAATGTGCATGTGGTCTGCAGAAAGTGATCAATAAGTTTAAGTGGAGTCTTCTTCACAGTGAGTATGGTGGCGTCATCTGGTCCGACAGGTGAGTGAGGCTGTGGTCAGGTCTTGGTGGAGGCACCTAAAATTCCCTAGGTCTCACGTTAACTGGTTGCCCTGTGCTCTCTGGAGAGCTCAAGAGAAAAGGAATAATAACCAAGTTGGTTATCTGGCTTCTTCTTGTTCATGCAAAAGTGGTGCTTTTTCCAGTTTTCTACATCCCATGGAAATAAAGATGAAGTTTTCTAAGAATGTTAGGGCAGATTCAATTCAATCTTTAAATTATAAAGCTCTGTTCCTAAATTAAACAAACAAATGAAGAAATCATTTCAGTATAAGGAAATAAAATATGATTTAAGCATTGAGTTACCCCCCAAAATTAAAAAAAAAAAACTAAAACTAAAACTAAACAATAGAGATGCTCTCAAAGAACAAATCCAGGTGGCAATAGACAGAATCATTCAATATGATGGGGAAACCAAGGCAAACACACATGATCTACACAGAGAGAAATGCTACATTTTAAGATATAAGATTCCAGCCCAGTAAAACATTAAAAACCTTATACCGTAAGCTGAAATTCAATGGCGGGCATGAAATTAGCTATTGAAACGTGTTGGTTCTTAAGCGATGCCCTGTTTTCTTCCAGGTGACCCCAGGAAGCAAGGCGGCAGCTGCCAACCTGTGCCCGGGAGATGTCATCCTGGCCATTGACGGCTTTGATACGGAGTCCATGACTCACGGTGATGCACAGGACAGGATTAAAGCAGCAGCTCACCAGCTGTGCCTCAGAATTGACAGGTGCTCCCTAACTGATGGTGTGAGAAGTGGATCTGTTTTGTAGGAGAACTTGAACCAAAACTATAAATAGTTTCATCCTCCCAGTGTGTTGGACGAGCTATCACAAGACCTAGAAATTTTACTGACTTTGTTTTATATGCCAGTCACTTGGTCTGAGCCTTCTTGAAGTCAGTCTAGTAGTTGTAGAGAAATTATCTGAAACTCTTGAAAATCAATACGATAAAAAAAAAGTTCTGAAAGACATTATTTTTTTCTGTACTAACCTATTTCATTGGCTATGAAATAGAAGGGCTTCCAAAAGTTGGTGGAAATGTTTCATTGTCTTTTCATCCTATTTTCTAATGAACTTTGAGAAGCTCCCCTCATGTTGTATATGTAGTAAAGAATCGAAGAGAATTTAGAAATTCTCCTAAAATGTGACTTCTAATATCCTATCTGCCATAGACTGTTTTGTACAGAACTCAGCCTAGAAGAATCTTAGGAGCTACTGAGATATTCCAAGCCAAAAATAATATTAGAAAAGACATCCTTTTCCTGAGCGATTTGATCTGAAATGGAATCATAAAAACTAATCATTTGCTTTAATAACTGCCTATCATGTTGGTATTGTATTCACATTGATCCCAAGTCCCCCTACAGTGGTGCAGAAGGCGCATCAGCCAGCCAATCCGATATTTCATGGGTGAAACGGACCCTGACCCTGTCCATGCTTAACTTGTGTTCTCTCCAAAGCACCTGGTCCCTTAGACACCACAGGGTCCCGAACTGATGCAGGGGAAGGAATGGATGGAGCAGATTTCCTCGATGGCAGTAACAAGACCATCTGGCATATCATTCTTACCTCCCAGCTGACCTGGGTAGAATAAGGGGGAAGTAAAAAAGACCTAGGGAGTTTGCCTTGTGGTTAACTCCACAGGACGACCCTGCATAGTGTCCCCCTTCCTCTGTGTTTCCCATGTACAATAGAGACCTACTCTCTCCAGAATATCACAAGGTCCTCTGTGCAATTTTGACCCATGAGGGGAAATTAAGACTGTAAGGTGAATTGAATAAGAAAATACAGAACAATGTGCAAAATAAGAAATTGCTTTCGCTTAAATTATTGAAGGCCACCCGGAGGAGGAAAATCGAGTGCAGTAGAACTAGCCGCAGCATTGAATTCGGAGCTTAAGAAAGTTCTTTCGTTCACAGGGCAGAAGCTCGCTTGTGGTCACCACAGGTCTCCGAAGACGGGAAAGCACATCCTTTCAAAGTCAACTTAGAGGCAGAGCCCCAGGTATGCATCTTAGAGTTCATGATACCCACATTATATTTCCAGTGAAAGCTCCTGGTGGGGGCTCCCAAGAGGAAAAAAGTGGCCAATATACAAATTGGAGCAAGCTCCTGATGTGGAGGTCATTACCTGCCTTTCCTTGCTGAGGTTACTGTCAAATACTCATGGTTTCTCATGCAAGAGAGAGGGTGAGGCAGACTGGCAGGAAGAAGAGAGAGGGAGCATGCTGAGGCAAACATCTTGTTCACAGACAAATACGTTCTCATCCGGAAGAACCTAGCTGTATCTACAGATAGTCACTGTATTTTTCATTTTTTATTATGGCTTCCTGCCAGATGACTGTGAGGTGTATGTTTCAAGGCAAAACAAAAGTACAATCACCCATTTGAAACAGGTGTCTTTCATCAAAAAATTATTGTGAACTCTAGTCCCTCGAGGTTTTTAATCTAGATTTCACTTTATAACTTTTGCTTCTCATTTCTGGCATCCTACAACCTGCTCTGTGGGATGAGTTTTGTGTTGTGTTACCATGATGGCATTCTGCCCCGGCCGTTGAAGGGTTTCCCTCCAGGCAACTCTATGTAATGAACAAAATGAATCTAATAATCCGATGTTTATCAAAATACGTCTGCTTTCAAAAGCTTCGAGACCAAAATGAAATCAATCTTCACCTGCGGTGCACAAATTAAGAAAGAGTTTCAGAATCTGTACATAGAAACCCCCCAGGTTTATCTGAAAAAAAAAGAGATCTAATATTCTTTTTAAACAATTTGTGCTAAACATATTAGATATTTCCAAACTATAGATTGCCTACATATTTTTATTTCACAAAACTAAACTGAAAACACGTTTATCATATAAGCTTTGATTTTCCTGGATTTGTCCTTCAAATTTTACACTCACCTTCTCCATTTTCTTCTCTGGCAAAAGTTTTGATAAAGAAAAGCTTGCTGTCAAAGGCAAAGCTCTGCAGAAGCAGCCTGCCACGTCTTTTTCCCACAGAGGGGCTGGTAGGTTTGAACCTCAAACCTTTCAGTTAACAGCTGAGCCCTTAACAACTGTGCCATCAGGGCTCCTGACCCACATGTAAAGTAACATAAATGTGTGTATCTCATAGGGCTTCTCTAAGACTGAAATAAAATAAGATAGGAAGGAACTTGATCCTTTGTGTTCAGAGCCCACTGGGCTGCAGGGGGTTTTCAGTGGCTAACTCTTCTGCAGGGAACCGCCTGGACGTGCAGGACAACAGCCCTAATGAGTGGAATCACCCGCCTCACAGTTAGCAGCAATGGGCAAACTCTTTCCTCCATTGGAAGCATAGAATTCCTCAGCTCAGTGGTCAAACTCACTGCTACTGAGCTGATTCCAATGTCCGGTGACCTGAGATAGGGCAGAGTAAGACTACCTCCTTGGGTTCCCAAGGCTATCCATCTTTATGGGAGCCAAAAGGCTCACCTTCCACCCAGTGAGCCATTGGTGGACCAGAGCTGGTTAGCAGCTCAACTCCTAATCCATATGTCACCCGGATTCTTTAGCCCAATGATGAAAGCCCAGACCAAACGTTCTGTCCTCATCTTTGTGTAATGTCCCCAAAGGACACAGAGGTATGGTGTAGCTATCATCATACTGGAAAAGATGCTTTTCAGAAGCACAAAATGCTTCTTTTCCAAACAACTGTCTCCGTCCCATACAAAGCAATCTTGCTATAGAAGATTTGGTCAAGCGAAGAACTTCCATGCACAAATGGACTGTGAGTTTAAGTTGTTTATATTTTCATTACAAAAATAGCTTTTATCTGCACTGCTTTGGTAACTGGAAGGCAGCCTACACAGAACAAGCTTTCAGCATTTTCATCTCCCCAGGCTGCTCCCCAGTGTGACACGGAAAACACTGGAAACAGACCATGGACGACACACTGCTCTTGAGGGTGGCTTCCTTGTTGTTTGATGGGGTGCGTCTGCTCAGTGTGACCCAAGCAAATATTTGATTGCTTGGTTTCTTTTACTTCCCTCGCTCCCCTGCCATACCCCGCCCCCCTTTCTTTTACCTGTAGACATGTAGGAATCAATGAGAAAATGCTGTTTCTCTTTGATCTAGCAATGGCCTCAGTCTTTGAGTTGAGTTTTTCATCTGTGGACCACTTCCCCAAGCAGGGAGTTACAAGGCAAATTCTCTTTGAGTGCTATCACCACAGAGGTCAAGTTCAGGAATGGGAGGAGGGTGGTCACAGAAGCTGCATTTCCCCTGAAGTCCACAGTCTTGTCGAGTTATTTAGCCTTTACTCTCAGAGCGATCACATTTGGTTCACCCAAACTAAAAATACGATTCTCTCATCTAAGCTCCTAAGGTTAAAACAGTCTATTTTTAAATGCATTAACTTATTGGAATGATTATGTGTTTAATGAATTCCTGAAAGAATACTTTATATGGATTTGTCCGAGTTGGGTGAGCACAAGAGCTGGACTATATTGACGGCTAAATAAACTGTTTACTGGTATTTAATGTAGCTCATGACTTTCCAGGGAAATAAAAAAAGAAGGAGTTAAACTGCAACAGCAGACTTCTAAGTGGTTTTGTCCTTTGATTACATTTGGCCCGCAACAATGATGTACGCTTTGGATAGAATGTTGACTTGCTGTGCCATACTTCCATTTCCTATTTGCCTTTGGTGTATACACTTCCATGTGCTTTGGGGAGTGGCTGTAACAGCCCATAAACTAATGCTTTGCAAAGCCTAATTATCAATGTTTAAGGCGTGTATTTAAAATATTTCTATTTTATGATCTGAGGGGAAAATATACATTTAGCTTTGTTTTGTTTTTTAACAAGTTGCACATTTTTGCCTTTGCAGTCAGTCTATCAGCCAACGCTGAAAATGGCAAGGAAAAAGACCTAGAGCCAATTAGAGCGCTACTATCGGAACTGTTCATGGTCTTAGCGGAGGCCATCCCTCTCCATGGAGACTGCTCACTCTAAGGCCATGGAACAATAAGAACACTGATTTTTTTTCCCAGTGAAGTCATTTTATGTCAACTAATTTTTGTCAATTAAAGTCTATCTACCAAGATCTTTAAGGTGGGATGTACTTTATTTAAAAAGAAAAAGGGGGGAAAGCTAGATTTCACAGAATTTGAGACATTCAGTGCTGTCATATTCACTCTCTTAATTAGCCTGAGGATTTATAATCCATCAAAGCTAAGTTATAATGTAATTTAGCCTTCTGTCCTCTTTCACGTGGAAAAAACTAACAATGCCATGACCACTGTCATTACAATAATGTCTAGTTTGTTTTTTATGCCATTGTAATGCTTCATCCTAAGCCACAGTCAGTACAACGTTAATATTAAATTAACTGAAATAGATTGTAACTCTTTGAAATTATTTTACTCTATTCTTGTTCTCAGCATTTTTCTAAAGCCACATTTTTAAAGTAGTTTTCCTATCTTATAATGACAACCATGTAGTCATTAAAAGAACAACAACAAAACTTTCTGCCATTGAGTCTATGCCAACCCATAGCAACCCTATAGAAGAGGGTAGTGCCGCCCCTGTGAGTTTCCAAGACTGTAACTGTTTACAGGTGTAGAAAGCCCTGTCTTTCTTCTGATGTTACAGAATCAATGTTATAGACTATAGAATCTATAATGTTATGGATTATAGAATCTATAATGTTATAGATTATAGTTATAGAAGCAATGACATCTCAGTCAACTCAATCACCCTATAGAACCACAGGCTACATTTTATTCATCTCAGACCTTCCAGTGCAGGAAGCTGTTCAGATGTTGTCAAAGGTTGAGGCGCAGGTTCATCTATACAGCATCACACACTTTCTGGCACCATGAGATCTGGGGCAGCTGGAATGGGAACCACTGAAGTCTGTACCCGATTCTTCCCGGTCATAGCCATTTTTCCTTCCCAAAGAGCATACTTTCCAAGAGGCCTTACTGGAGAGAATAAGTGTGTTCCTGCTCAAGGGAACCAAACGAAAGCGTTTGTCGCTTGGGTCCCCTTTTAGCAAGTCATTGGTGTTCACTGGCTTAAGAATCTTTGGGGGGAGCGGGGGGGTGGGGAGGTTACTCTGGTTAGAAGGCTTTAGAAGGGAAATAGTCTCTTCTCTAGAAAAGCACCACCCACAACTTCCTTGTTTGTAATGGCAAAAAGGAAAATGACAAGAAGAACATTATAAGATCTTGTCTTTCTTCTTCTTCTTCTTTTTTTTTTTAAATCAAAATGATTTCTTTCCAGGCAATATTTCAAATCATTCTAAATCAGCGGTTCTGTGTGTCGTTATCCCTTTGGGGGTGTCTAACGACCCTTTCACAGGGGTCGCCCAACTCATAACAGTAGCAAAATTATAGTTATGAAGTAGCAATGAAAATAATGTTATGGTTGGGGGTCACCACAACATGAGGAACTGTATGAAAGGGTCGTGGCATTAGGAAGGTTGAGAACCACTGTTCTAAATGTTTGGTCTATTTGATATCTGTGTAAGGCATTCGGAGCACATTTAAGAAGTAAATGAAGTTGATGTGAATGTATGAGGGAAAATATTTTTATAAAAATTTCTTATTAATGCTGCCAAATGGAAAGATTCAGAAGAGAATTGGCTCATGAGTATTTTGGCATTTGGTTTTGTTTCCTTGTTACTTAGAAGAAGAAAATTGAATGGCTTCTCAAGCAATTCTAAGTCTGTATAAAAATGGGAACTGTAATAATTACAGGATTTCAGATCATTCAGGCACATTTCAGACTAGAAGTCTAGAACTTTGACGTTGGGTCCTTTTCCCCAAGCAATAAAATGAAAATCACTTGAGGAAAGCATTGTGTTAGCAGTCTCTGACGCGCTGGTTAGTTTTCCTAGGACCAGAGCAGACATGCAGAGTTCTTTAAACATAAATGAAACCATCAGATTAGTAAGCAGGTTTAATAGAAATAGTATTCCTACTTTCCTAAAGAAAGAGATCTGAATGTTTATCAGTCCTTTTTGGAGATGAGGGTGATAACTCAATCCAAGTTAAGTGTTTTTGTTTTTGTCCCAGGTACCAAAGAAAAAATTAAAACGTCTACCTGGGCTTTCAGAACGATTCAGTAGGGCTCTTCCGATAAGCTCCTCCTTTCCCGGCCAGCCTTCCAGTTCCTCATTTCTTACAATGGGGCCAACTTCATGAAGACTTTAATAGAACAAAAGAAGTAGACATGAGTTCTACTTGAGAACATAAATATCCTTTTTTTTCACACCCCAAAATCACATTTCTGACACAAAAATATCAGTATTAACATGTATCAACTGAGAATTTCTTGAAAGGGATGGGCCTGGAAGTCCACAGGGGCCAGGTCTGAGAAACCAGGTTTGGGTTGTCTTATAATAAATAGCCTAAGCAAGGTCACGTCCTCTGCACCGGAACCTTGGGTAGATAATGGGGCACGTGTCCATGGAGCAGAAAATCCTAGGTTTGTTCCTACCCTGCTCCTCCTTTCGCCTCAGAGCAGCGAATCCCCTAGGAAGCAAAAGATGCCTTCTTACCAGTAGCGATGCTGGCCGTTTTGCTCATTAACAGCTTTGTTGTGCTTTCTGTGGCTCTGTGTGTCTTGTCTGCCATTGTACAGGAATTCAAACCCATTGGTGCCGCGCACAACAGAAGGGCTCAGCCTTTTGTTGCAGCAGCAAACATTGACGACAAAAGACAGGTAGTGAGCGCTTCCTATAACTCACCCATTGGGCTCTATTCAACTAGCAATATCCAAGATGCGCTTCATGGACAACTGCGGGGTCTCATTCCTAGCTCACCTCAAACGTAAGTAACTCGACGCTCGGTGCGTAGCCACGATGTTCTGGAGCCATGATCACATGCTTTCTTTGCGTTCAAAAGCCCGGCTCTCGCTGTTTCATTTCAACGACGTTCACCCGATGTGCATTTCCAAGATAAGCATCCAGAGTGTGGTTCCGAAGTTCTGGACCCAAATCAGCCAGTTTGCGAGCAGGTGGAGAGTGGAGAGGGGGTGAAACAGAAACAATTGTTCTCCGTCTATCCCCCTCTCGGCCAGGTTGCGGTTTGGTGGAAACTCAGTCTCACGATAAAAGTAGCATTCGTTTCGTTTTCTCTTTAATGTCTATCTATGAACATAGTCATCACCCACTGAGGAACCTTTTGAACTCTTTATTTTTACAGGATGTGAACTACTTTGAACACAAGCACAATGTTCGGCCCAAACCTTTCACAATCCCAGGCCGAAGCAGGTCACAAACTCTGACGTTGTGAAGTTTGCAATGCATGCTTCTCCTATTGAATCCTTACTAATCGCCACGCACAGTAACAGTGAGGTGTTTGGAGTGACTTTGCTCATTCTGGAGCTTATTTCCGAAGCTGAAGAAACAAGCTCGCTTTGCAGAAAGAACAGCTGTCAGGTCCAGGAGTAAACACTGACAGGATTATGGAGCTGTGGGGCTTGATGCAATCACTGTGTGTATTTATAACGAACGCCCCTGCCATTCCAGGGATCCCATCCAGAACATGATGACCTCCGAGACAGGCAGACAGACGTGTTCTGTACCAGCTCAGGGAAGCCCGGCCAGGGGGAAGGAAAGAGGAACCAGCCCAGAGAAGGAGGAGAGCAGCTGGCGTCTGCGTGCAGACGCTGTGGAAGCTTGTCTGTTCTTGCCATGCTCCCCCCTCAGCACCTGCCTCTCGATGCTCTTACAGAATCCAGCTCTTATGAGAAAAAGAAAATCGCCAAGGAAGGGCCTCTTGAGGCAGAGCTGCACCTCCACCACCTCCCTGGGGAATCAGTGTACAGACAGAGTAGGAAAGAAGTGAGGTCCCCTAGTTACACTCTTGGAACCACTGCCATTAGGTCCCGTGGGGCCGGTGATGGCCCGCCTGTGTCACAGCAGGACTGTGCTCCATGGGGTGGCCCGTGGGTTTGGGAAGTGGATTAGCTGGTCTTTCTTCCATGGTGCCTTTGATGAAACTTGAAATTCTACCTCCTTGGTTCATAGTCACCGAGGTTAACCTTTCATACAACCCAGGAGAGCGGTATACAGATTGGAATAATAGTAAATAAGCTCTTAATTGATTTTCGTCAATTGGAGAAATGAGTCATCTCCAGATGATCCATGTCAAGTGCTCGAGGAATTGAACCCCAACCTAAGAGGGAAGAAATGCATGCCCTGTACTGACAGCCGGAAAGAATGATTTCAGGGCGCCTACCTACTCCTCTGACTGCAGCTCCATCAGTCAGCCTCAAGGGAGGGCATGGGTGGGGAGACTGGATTGATCCCACCTGGTTACTGCTGGTGGATGTTGATGAGTTGATTGATGTGACAGTGTAGAAACGCCCCTAAGGAGTTCTTGGTTGGATGCAATATCTACAAGAGGCTGATCGACAGTCTTTCCTCCCACTGACCCCTGGATTGGGTTCGAACAGGCGACTTGTCTGTTATCAACTGAGAACTTCCTAACTCATGGGAGCACTGACTAATGGTCTATGTTAGATGCCCCAAACCGTGTGTCCTTCAAAACCCAAACCCACTGTTGTTGCATCAACTCATAGCAGCCTTATAAATAAACCAGACGCACAACCATCAAGTTGATTTACACTCATGGGAAAGGGCAAAGCTGCCCCCTTCGGTTTACAAGGCCGTATTTACAGAAACCGACTGCCCAGCTTTCTGTTGAGTTTCTGCTGAGGCTTCAAATCACTGATCTTTTCGGTTCGCAGCTGAGCACTTTAAGCACTGCACCTCAGCAGAAAGACCTGATTCAAAGTCAGACAGAAGTCTCAGGTATGCTTTATGTTACTCTCGTAGTACTCAACAACTTAACAATTGTAGGTGGCGTATGCATACTCCAGCTTGTCAAAATGCCCATTTCTCTTCACGGCGTTATTCCTGACCCATTTTCAGATATGTGGGACCCTCCTAGCCCCTGTGGATGTTTGGGTTTATGATCCTGCAATATAGAGAGACATTATTTCACATATGATTTTCATTGGCACTCTCATTCAAAAGCTAGTCAGGGCCAGAGGATTGCCTCAAGACAAGACATACTCCAGGGTGGTGGTGGTGGTGTGTGTGTGTGTTCTGGGGAGGGGTGCATTAAAAAAAAAAAGACAAGACATACTCCCAAGTCTGCACAACCCTTTCTTTCTGCTCCGGGTGGCTTCCTGTGTATTCTCCCTGTGCCTCCACATTCAACAGCTTCTCAACCCTCCGACCCACCGACACCACATAACACTACATTAACAATAGGATGTAACTTTACTACTGAATAAATGCACACACATATATCATTTCCAAAAGAAGTTTCGTGGAAGGACTCCCTTTGCCAGTAGGACTGTAAGTTCACCCATTCAAGTCTTAAGACTTCAGAGGCTAGAATAAAGGGATGTGTTTGAGCAGCACCATGTATATTTGCTCAAGACCTAACACTCGATTCTTAATTTTATAACAACCTCAGGGAGAGTCAGAGAGATCCTGGCTTTTACGACTGGAGTCTATCTCTTCCTTTTTATTGAAACTTTGATTGAAACATGGCGGTAATGAGACATCATTCATAAGTTTATCACTTAAAAGGGCTTCTTAATGTAGCTGCCCTGGGGGCATAGTGAATGCCACACTTGAGACCTGAGAGACATGCCATTTAAATCTGTTCTGTTCGGGATCCAGGCTGGGGACTTTGCAGCAAGACTAACTGGCAGGCATGGAAGATGCTGACATCAATGCTAGGACTCTTTTGGCTTTATCTTAAGGAACTGTGCCTAATTAATTTACTTAGCAGATTCGGTTTTCTCTTAGAATGCATCTCCCATGGCACGCTTAATATGCATGTAGAACAATGAGCTATTATCGCTGGCATGTCCGTTGGCTTCCTGTCCAGTTTCTTATGGACTATGAGACCACCCTTAGTTGTCTCTAAATTTGCATGACTGGCCTCTCTGATGTTTCAATGATTCCCCTTCAATTTCTCCTTTAAAGGAAGTGAGAAATATGTATGGCAATCAATGTGTGCTTCTAAATACTTATGTTAAATGACTACGCCCATACCGGGAACTTTATCCTTACCTTCCTTGTGTTCTAAAGAGTCAGAGATCCCGCATCTGCGTGCTGAGCATCTACTTCATGGTGACAAGCATTTATTGGCTGTTCTAGAGTCTGTGGGGGTCACATCCAATTAAACCACTGGCCTATTTTGTAACAGTGTATCTTCTTCACAGAATTCAAGGGGAAAAAACCATGGCAATAAGACATTTAACATGATAGCCTTAATATGTAATCTTTCCCACATACTCTACAAATTTGCAATTAGGTCATTAAAAGTTTTTAAAAGTTCAGCTGGAACTTTTTAAAAATGATTAAAAGTTCAGCTGGATTCCTGAAATCTACCTCTTCTTTTGAAATGTTGAGCTCAAATATTTGACGGAATCTTCTTCACATTTAGTCGCAATTCACAAAGGGCCATTCATTACTATTTCAGTTGTAAACATTCAACTACAGAAATGGGTGTCTAATCAATATACTTTCCCAGCATCCTTTGCCTGTGATGTCATGTTTCCAATTATTTGACCTGTCTTTTCTTTAAATACAGAATATTTGCATCTTTTTCTACTGACTTTATGTACAACTCTTTCTGCATTTAACTCTGAATATGCAAGGCCAAAAAATGCAAAGTTGCCCATATAATTTAATTTTGTTAAACTCATTTTCAATCGTGAATTTCCAGTATTTTCTCTTTTAAAAATAAATTCGTGCCAGAATTAATCATTTTGCTTTCATCTGATGTAGTTCACCTCTTACTTTTTTGTCTCCCATTCATTCGAACCTCTCTGTGCTTGTTCTCTCTGTTCTTGTGTCTGGATCTTCCGGCTCCTTGGGCCACCTCTGTGTCACGTGGTCACTAACACAGTGGATGCAGCACCCCCTCCGGTATTGATGGTGGCAGTGGACGTAGCACCCCCTCATCTGTCAGCACTCTTAGTACTATTTGCCCAGGTGACTTGAAAGTTGCTGCTAAGCTGGCCCCTAACATTCCTTTGGAAATGGACCTTCCCGGTGTGAAGATTGTACATGCTCAGTTTAACACACCTATGCAGTTGTACTCAGATGACAATATTATGGAAACACTTCAGGGTCAGGTTTCAACAGCTCTAGGGGAAACACCCGTGATGAGGTAATATAAGTCTTTTTGTGCTTTCAGCATATTAACTAAACACATGGGCAATGTCAAGTCTGCTGATGTTTTTTAACATAACATCTTAATAGAAAGAAAGCTATGTGGAAAAACTTTAAAAAGTAGTTAATGATTTCTTGCAAATGTCTGATAATAAAGGAGACATAAAGAGTTAACTACATAGAAGTTTATGTCATAGTAATAAAGTGAAATCATTTAAGGATTAAATGCATATGTTTTTTAAAGCTACAATGTACTTTACAAATGTCCAGTACAATACCTCTCAAAAGCGATTTGTAAACTGGTATACACATTATCTGTCCTCTGTGGGGTCAAAAATTGGGAAGAGATGGGAAGCTCAGGTATGTCTTCTAAGAGCTAACATCCATTCGCTTCTCTTGATGGCATTTGGTGGAGAGGTCATCGTGTTTTCACTGAAAGTGTTTGCCACGGTTAAGGGTTGATATGTGAATACTTCTCGGCAGTAATATAGATAATTAATTTATATTAACCTCTACTTTGATAAATTTGTTCTTTATGGTGAATCTTTATTCGAGGTACTTTACCATCAAACATTTTTAGTTGCAAAGAGTTGTCATAGGATAAAATTATTATGCCTCTTTTTCATTATTAGAGCATCATTGTCTTTTTGAATTATAGCATATTAATGCCTAAGAGTGCTCTGCAACAGTAAACTGGTAAAGTTATCTCTTAGGATACACACGTGGAACTACTAATGTAATAGACCACAAGGCAATTTTCAAAGAATTTTAGATCTATAAAATTATTCATTTCAAACAGTATATAAGTAATTAGAAAACATGCACATAGAAACCACCTTTTCTAGATATTGTTGTTAAGTGGCATAAAGCATTCAAATGTTTACGGTCTAAGAGTAGTGTTATGATATATTTGTACTGTTCAGTATGAATGTAGTTGTAGAAAGTATATTAAAGTAAAGCTGCTTCATGATTATGAATTATCTATAATATTTATAATATTTTAAATATGTGATGTAATCAACATAACCGGCTTATATATGAAAACTTAAACATTATGTGCTTTCAACCATGGACAGGTTGACTTTCTTCAATTTATCAAGAAAACGATAACTTATCATTTCTAGTAATTAGCGAAACAAACCTTAAAATCAAAGTTGAATTATACATTTTTAGTTTAGTATCAAAAATGAACCTGAATTTTATTGAAAATTTTGTGACAAAAAATAAGTAAATTTGGCTCATTCTTATACTTTCTAATGTGTTTATTTTGCTCTTTTTCCTGAAACTAATTTTGTTCACTTCTGTAACCACGTGTCCATCAGGCACAGTTCTTGGTTTTTAGATTTATTATTTTCTAACAATCACTTTCCCATTCACCCTCCAAACTAGTTTGTCAAATGGGAAATAGTTTATATGACTCCCAAGTTAATCATGCACTGCCATTTTTGAAGCCAACCCACGTAAATACTCACACTGTATTTCTAACTGTAACGGAGGTTAACTTGGAAGTCCTAAGGCTGTGCCAAGGTTGCCGAAATGGCCACTGCTTACTGATGTCTTCTGGCATCTCGCGCACCTGACGATGCTTCCTCGCCAACCTGTGTTTCAGTGAGCCGGTCGCCTCGGTGCCACCGCAGTCTGACGTGTACCGGATGCTTCATGACAATCGGGATGAGCCTGCACAGCCTCGCCAGTCAGGCTCCTTTCGAGTGCTCCAGGAGTTAGTTAACGACGACCCCGGTGAGCAGCCATTAGCATCTGCTGAGAGGAGTAGGGGTGGGGACACAATGAAAGTTTAAACTGGTTTTTAGTCACTAACAACTGAACTCTTGCTCACATGGGTTTCGACGGTGTGGGATTTAAGATAGGAGCTGCCAAGATGCCACACACTGAAGTCAGAGGTAAAAGATCCCAAATTGCATCCACAACCATCAAAGGCGAGCTCAGTTGACGAATGGGAGATGAGAGCTGTTGAATTGTTGTCGGTATGAGGTGTCACCGAGTCAGTTCCAAGTCATGGCAACCCTGTGTACAGCGGGACCCCGTGCTGCCTGGGCCTGGAAGGCATCTCCCCCTTGTCCAGATGTTTGAGCCATGACTGCAGTCAGGGGGTCAGTGCATCTCATCGGGAGGGAGTCTTCTTTAGGCTGACCCTCCCCTCACCAAGTATAAGGTCCTCCAGGGATTAATCACTCCCGATGACATGTCCAAGCATGTGAGACGGAGTCTCACCGTTCTTGTGACTAAAGAACATTCTGGCTATCCTTTTTCCAACACAGATTTATTGGTTCTTCTGGCCAAGCCCAAACCCCGCTGATTCCATCTCAGAGCAAGCCCTGTGCATCTTGACAGTGGCAACTAGCCTCATCTTCTGAAGCATTGACCTAGCAGCCAATAGCCCAACCCCTCACCCACAATCCAGGGTATATTCAATACTCCTCATTAACACATAACTCAAATGCATCAGTTCCTCTTCCATCTGTTTCACTGTCCAGCTTTCACATACATATGAGATTGAAAACACCATGGCTTGGGTCAGGGCACCTTGGGCCCTCCTCAAAGCGACATCCTCTATCTTTAACACTTTCAGGAGGTCTTGTGCATCTAATGTGCCAATTTGCCCTTTGGATTTGTCATTTGATCTCTTGACTGCTACTTGAATGAGCTTTGATTACTGGAACTAAGTAGAGTGAAATCCTTGACAATTTCCATTTTTTTCTCCATTTGTCAACATGTTGTTCATTGGTCCAGTTGTGAGGATTTTTGTTTTCTTTGCATTGAGGTGTAAGGAGCCCTGGTGACATAGTGGTTAAGCATTAGGCTGCTAACCATAAAGTCAGCAGTTCGAAACCACCAGTCAGTCCTTGGGAGAAAGATGGGGCTTTCTACTCCATAAAGAGTTACAGCAGTGGTTCCCACCCTTCCTAATACTGCAACCCTTTCATACAGTTCCTCATGTTGTAGTGACCCTCTCAACCATAACATTAGTTTCATCGCTACTTCATAACTCTAATTTTGCTACTGTTATGAATCGAGCGACCCCTGTGAAAGGGTCGTTCAACTCCCAAAGGGGTCGCAACCCACAGGTTGAAAACCATTGTGTTACGGTCTCAGAAACCCCCCAGGAGCAGTTCTACCCTGTCCTATGGAGTCTCTATGTGTCAGATTTGACTCGATGGCAGAAAGTTTGTTTTTTGTTTTGTTCTGTTTTAATATTGAGGTGCAATAAATCCTGAAGGCTGCATTTTTTTATCTTCACCATTAAGTGCATAAAGTTCTCTTCACTTTCAGCAAGTATGGTTGGACCATCTGCATTTTGCAAGTTGTTAATGAGCCTTCTAGTTCTTTTCTAAAATTGTCAATTGGGGAGGAGTTTACATTTCAATCATCATTTTTGTATTAACCATTTAAACAACCTATCAAACTTCCCAATTGCATACCCTGCCCCCACTCCTTCCTCCAATTCTGCTATTGCATTGTTCTCCCTGAAGGTCAGCTTCTTGGATATTTGCTCACCATGTAGTTTAAAGTTGATATGGTAAAAGTTCTCACCTCTCTCAATACTCTGGAGTAACATCATCATCCACATTTAAAATCACAATGTAATGAACCCTGTCCCCATTCATCTGTCTATTTGTCATGCGTGGTGCTTTACCGGTGCCTGTGATACTAGAATCATCTATGTCATGCCAGCAGGTTCAGCCAGGGTGGACGGGTGCCAGCAAAGCCCCCAGACTGAGACAGAGCAGGAAGGAAGGCCTAGTGACCTACTTTTGAAAATTAGCCAAATGGGAGCATTAGGGGCCGCAGTTGTACTCCACCGTAGCAATGCTCATAAAGATAACACTTGGCAGCTTGTCATTCTGTGATCTGTAAGGTTGTCATGCGTGGAACCAGCTGCATGGGCCCTCACAGCAACCATGCACTGAGTCACTCTCATCCCAACACTGTGCGGAGGCCTTTGCACGCATTACCTCATTTCATCCTCACAATGATTCGGTGACGTAAGAGCCACTGTTTGAGCTATTTCACAGATGGGGAAGCTGAGGTAGAGAGTGGACCTGTCCAAGTCACACAGCCAGTAAGAACAGGCCAATCGCTACTGTCTTCTGGGAGGGCTTATGCGCCAGTGTTTTTCCACACCAAAAAGTTGCATCTTGACCCTTAAAAGTTGCACAAACACATGCAGGGCTCCATGGGGCGTTCTGAACCAGCTCCTTCCAACAGCCGCAGCAGCAAATGTGTTTTAAGTGCTGCCCTGGAAGACCCTCTCTTCAGGACTAAGTCTCGGTGCTTGAAAGGACGCTGCTCCTTCGGGAAGGGAAGTGCCAGTGCAACTTAAGAATCCTTAGGTTAAAGTGCACGCCTGAAAATAGAAGCCAAGTGCAAACTCTAGCCAGCTGTTCCCTGGCCACAAATGGAAACACTTTGTTTTTCAGATGACCGTCCTGTGGGGACGCGGAGCGTGCGAGCTCCAGTTACAAAGGCCCACGGCGGCATGGGTGCCTCACCGAAGATGCCACTCTGTGACAAATGTGGCAGCGGCATTGTGTAAGTTTCATTTTTAACCCACGAATCCACTGTGAACTCTGGAGAGTGTTCTATATTGCTTATATTTGAGGACCTTATATGCAAAACGGCAATTTTGAAAAACTTAGAGCATTTAGTTTTCACAAATTCAGCACATCTGAGGAACCAAGCACCCCTTAAAAGTGCTCTAAAGCTGGCATAGGAAGCCAGATAGCAACCTTGACCTTGAGTTGTAGATATGATGGGGCTTCAAAAACCTTGTGGCAAAAATGCCATAGTCTTTTTTTTTTCTTTCAACCTTTACTCCCAGGCAAAGAGGAGGCTCCAGGGAAGGAGGGAAGAGAAGCTAGATCAATGGAAATAGAGCAAACAGAAAGGATTTTATGCGAGTGCTGACCCATTGTGAAAATTGCAAACGAACAATTTGTATGCAAATTGTTCAAGGGAACCCTAATTTGCTGTGTAAAACTTTGCCTAAATCACAAGAAAGTGTCCTGGTCACACAAGGTGGGATTATCAGGCAATCAATTTCTTTTGCAACATGAACCTCGGTGAATCTGTGAGTTACGGAGACCCCAGTTACGGAATAACCCTACAGGCCGCAGATGGGAGTGTAGAGTGTAGAGTGCTGGCAGCTTCGAGGCAGGACGGAAGGGTAGGAGCCTTGGGAGGTTATGGAATAGTCTGTCTGGGGAGGGAGGGTGGAGGGTGAAAGTGTTCACGAAAAGCAGATGATGGGGCACCCACTTAATTAAGGTGACCAGATTTTAACATTGGTAAAGCGGGACAAAAGTGGGACACCATTGATAAAACTCATATCCTGGTGAAATAGCTACATGGCAGCCAAAAACCGTATACCCTAGCTTGTCGTGCATTCTTTCCAAAAATCGGGACTTTTTAAAAATGCCTCAGGACATGGGGAAAAATGTTAAAAATCGGGACTGTCCCACCAAAAGCTGGATGTCTGTTCAGTAAGCCAATTCACCAGACACGGCGACAGAGAGAAGGAGAATATTCATCCCAGGTGGTTTAGCGGGTTATGGGTTGGGCTGCTGACCTTAAGGTCAGCAGTTCCAAACCACCAGCTGCTCTGGGAGAGAAAGATGAGGTTTTCTACTCCAGTAAAGAGTTGCAGCCTCGGAGCCCCACAGGTGCAGCTCTACTCTCTCCTATAGAATCCCTTTGAGTCCGCCATTGTCTTTCCATTCCAGTCTTCCACAAACATTTCGAAGTCCCCTCAGATAGTTTCAGGGAGGGAGGGGTGGGGGTGGGGAGAGGAATTGGCCCTAAAGGTTATGAAAAATCACATTCAAGAACTTTCACTTCAAAAAGCCCTTCCTCCTGGTGAATAGTCTTTGAAGATTTCCTTTACTGTTTAAACCCAGGAAAGGAAAGGCGGGAGGTGCCGGGCTGTTAATGAGAACACATTATCCTGCCTCAGTTTCTTACGTTGCACAAATGCTAAAAGATAAAATTAAAATGCACTTCAAAGGACTTTGCCTTTATTTATTTATTATTATTGTTTTAGCTTTAACAAATAGAAATTAACTTTTTCTCAGTTTAGGAAGTCCAGATTCAGGGGGCCAGCTGCACTGGAAGATTTTCCTGTCAACTCTACTGGAAGGGACTTTGCCTTTAAAAGGCCTGCTTGCTGGTTGAGTTCTTCAAGAGAACCAAATCATTTTCAGCTCTCCACAGCGTGTGTCGAGAGGGTCACCACTCCCACACAAGGCCCCCTCAGCCACTTAGTTAGCCAGCACCCAGCCCAGGAGGCCAAGCGGCAGGAGGCTGGAAAGCAAAAAGAGTGGGAGAAAGGAAAAGGTGGGGCGGGGAGCTCAGAAGCAGAAAGCACGCCCGTTGATGATGTTACCAGAATCAGTTCTTGCTCCTAAACTGGAGTAAACTGTTTTGACAGTAGAGGCAATTCCTCCCACTCTGGAAATTCCATCCCGTCTGTTTGATCTGTTTGCTCTGTGCGCTGCACCAGAGCGCCTGGACCACCGAAACAGAAACCAATCTGGTTGTGTAGGTCAAAATCCAAATCGTTCCCAGAGGTGTTGGTCGCATCTGTATCAGGTCTCCCTCTTGCAAAGATTTTTCTGGGAGGAAACCATAAAGCAGAACTCTACAGTCCCACCCCCACCCCCACTCCCCTTTCACTGCTTGTTTTCAAGCCTGAAAACATTCAACATCAGAGAGAAGCCGGAGATGCTTTATGAGGATGCTCTCAGATCTCCCGGGCTTCGAGCTTCACAGCTGTGCACGGTTTTACAGCTGGAGGCCACTGCTTCCTGCATGTAAAATATAACATCTGCGCATTCTAGGTTTGGTGTGGTATGGTGGTTTTCAGTAGACCTCTTTTTGCCCTCCAACAGCGGTGCCGTGGTGAAGGCGCGGGATAAGTACCGGCATCCGGAATGCTTCGTGTGTGCTGACTGCAACCTCAACCTCAAGCAAAAGGGCTACTTCTTCGTGGAGGGCGAGCTGTACTGCGAAACGCACGCCCGGGCCCGCACGAGGCCCCCCGAGGGCTACGACACCGTCACTCTCTACCCCAAAGCTTAAGTCGGCCGCAGACGGGCCTCAGGCGTACTCACCCCCACACGCATTTACACAGGAGTCAGACGTTGCTGGCTGTGGCCAGGAGCAGAGCATCTAGTCGCGTGCAAATCGGCAGCCGGAGCATTTGTACGTGTTTAACTTGTGGAGCAAGGGGCAGCAAAGGCCGTGCGATTTGACAAAAAGGTGCGAATGGTTCTGCAGCTTTTAATCTTTGGGACTAGCAATAACCATGGCATGTGAAGCAATACTTTTTCTGTAGGCTCTACTCCTAAATTTGCATTGATTTTAAACCACCACACACGTGACCATCAAGATGCTCTGGGAGTTCTGTCTTGCCTTATCAAATTGAGCGATTGTAGGAAATGCCTAATAACCGTCTTATACTGTCACCCAGCCTACACTTGTCTGTATGTTTTAACTCTGCTAGTGCATGCCTAGATTTCTTGAGTTTCATTTCAAACATTATACCACTGGATGCAACCATAATAAATAATACATAAAGCCTTTGAAAAACATTGAACGAAGTGGCACTCGGTGAATTAAGATAACAATGTTAGCATTCTATGGAGAGGGCCCGATCATATACTAACTCAGATTGGTTTCTTTTTCTTTTTAATGTGGTTTGTTTAGTTTCCATAAACCACCTACCCTTTCCCAGTAACCTCCAAAGGTAATTTAATCTCCTTTAGACAAAGAATAGGTTTTGCTTTAAAAGGGTCTCTCTCAATTTTCAGTGTCCTCTTTCAGACAGATATTCAGTTAAATTCAAGCTCCCACGTCCCTCAGAACTGGCTCTCTGTGCTCCCAGGTTCAGCACTGCCTGTCCTTCTCAAGGTGTACACACACACACACACACACACACACACACACACACACACACACACACACACAGTAGAAGCAGTTTAGATGCCTGATGAGAAAGGGGATGGTGCTGCAGCTTTCAAAGGACCCTGCTTGTACCCATTGCTGAAACTCACGATTTCTCTTGTGGATTTTCTCCCCCTGGTTGGAGCCAGGCAATAACCCATCTCCACCACCACTTCCAATGCCTCAGCTCCGCCGTCCTGGCATCCCAGGCTCTTTGTGCTTCCATTATGAACTCCACTTGGGCTCTGGCCAAGGCAGTGTGCCAGGCAGGCCTGGTGCCGTCGTGGCAATGCCCCCAACTTACTTCTTCTCTCTCTTGCCGTGTTCCTCCCTGGAGACACATGAAACTTCTGGAACCGTCCCTCCAAGGACAAGCCATGGTGCCCCAGGAGGGCAGGGGGCAAGGGCACTCGTTCAGGCCCCTCTGGCTCTCCCCTTGCCCACACTGGCAGCACAGCTCTTCGGCAGCACTACCGGTTCTCTGGAGCCAGTCTCATCCTCCCAGAATCCCAAGCGGAGCACAAGTCTCATTGCTCTTGGATTCTCCCCAACCTAACTGATTCTATCTGGCACCCACCTGTCCAGGGTCTTGGCCCCATGTAGAGAGCCAGGCCTACCTGGCCTCACCAGACATTTGAGGTGACAACCTGGGATGGCATCAAATTCATTAATAGAGGTTTTTTTTTAAAAATAAGAAACTTCTGAACGTAATGAGTGCTAGAGAGAATGTGGAGAGTGTTGCCAGCTCGTGCATTGCTAGTGGGAGTGCTGAATTGCACAACTGCAATGGAAACCAACTTGGCGTTGCCTTTAAAATGCAAATTTAAGTACCTCCTGGTCCTACAATATCTCTACTTGAGAGATAGCCTAAGGAAACCCAGAACAGAGCATGAGCAGTCATAGGCACACCCATGCGGATCGCAATTTCTTGGAAACAATCAAGAATTCTGCTGACGAATGGATACACAAACTCGAGGACATCCTCACAAAGGAAGATTATACGTCCTTTAAAAATAATGGCATGTCTGTCAAACACCTAATGGCATGGACAAAATTGAAGGACATTATGCTCAGTAAAGTTAGTTTCATGAAGGTAAGCATTTTATGATACCATTATAAGGTGATATTTTTAAAGGTCAAAACCTTCAAAGATAGAAAGAAGAGAATGAAGGTAACAGCAACATCATGTTGAAAGGTACAAAGGTGTGCTGATACCTATGGTTTGCTACAGCACTGAAGAGAGACAACCAGGGGCTGCTCATCCAATAAGCAAAGTAAGCATGGGCTGCTTTGTGCTTACCTACTAAGCTATTTAATAAAACTAATAAGCATAAATAAGCCCATACATAAGTCATCTTGAGTATGCATAAGTAATCCCTGTCAGGAGTTGCAAGATGGAAAAGAGGCTGTGATTTCGTCGGAAGGTGCTGTGGAATTGGGAGAGGGAGAGATGGGGGTCTTTGATGTGGTAGGAAAAAATGTAGACTGGCTCATAGAGATTAACAAGTTGCACAAGTAAACCCAGGTGTACCTTGCTTGTTGGGTTATCCAACATTCACTATCGTGGAGTCAGTTCTGACTCAGTAGGACAGAGTAGAACTGCCGCTGTGAGTTTCAGAGATTGTAACTCTTTACGGGAGCGGAAAACCTCATCTTTTTTCCCAAAGGAGAGTCTGGTGGTTTTGAACTGCTGACCTTGAGGTTTGCCACTCATCGCATAACCCATGAAGCACAGCTAATGGCACATGGAAGATCCTCCTCTGAACAATGACGCCAGAGGTGCCTTTCCTTCCTGGTTGCCCAGTCTACCCTTCCTGTACCCAAGGCCCCAAGGGTTGCTGTCAGAGTTCCCAAAGCTCCCTGCTAGACCCATCCAGAACAACTTCAGCTGATGAGAACTGCTTTCAAAACAATCTGAGAAAGGTCAAAATTAAAGGCAATCTAATTTGTCCTCCATAATGAAAATTGACAGAATCAGGTATTTCTGAACCAGAGGATAAAGGGGGGGCTAAAAAACAAAAAAGGGACACCTGGAGAAACCTGTTGAAGAAATACTTTAAAATCAAACACACACACACACACACACACACACACACACACTGCACAGCAACTTCATCGGTGGAAGTGAGCCAGGTAATATCTGGAGAAGATATAATGGAGCATCTCTGGGCTGGAAGACAGGGTGCATAGTGGACTGGGCGAGTGCTGTACCAAAACGAGGTTAATGAAGCAATTACATAAGATTAAAGAAGCATTCCTGAGACCTTAAACAATACATTCCACAGACACTACGGGTTAGTTATCAGACACGACTTCTTTATTTTATATGAAGCGGAGTACACGTTCGGTAAAGGGTCAGTGAGAGAGACAATTCTCAACTAGATGATGACACCAGGGCCGAGACAACGCACTCAAGCACAGCAGCGAATGTGAGGGTGGCCCAAGAGGGAGCAGGGCTTCATTCTCGCGTACACAGGGTCGCTATGAGTCAGAACCAACTAGATGGTACCTAACAACAGTACAGTACCTATTGAACTCTGCAGATTCAAATATCTACTAAAGAGCTTTGGATATTTTAAAAGCTATCTAATGAGAAATTAAGGAGAGAGGGGACTAAATTTGATAACTCATGACTACATGACTAAAACTTATGAAGCAGACCTTAAAATTATGTGATCATGATTTTGAATTAAAATGATTCTTTTGACATTAAATCCAGAAATTTAAACATGGAAAGCAGATGGATGCCCTATAGCATTAGTTAAGAGAAATTATTATTATGTGAAAATTTTAATGTATAAGGAACTAAACGAAAGCAACAGTGTTGAAATGGATAGGGATATGCAAACTTTTATATATAAAATCAATTTAGGAAGCAATAGGTCCCCTGTACTGGTATGCACTCCCAAAATGTGTCCTTCAATAGCAAATTCATGGCATGTTTTATGCAGGAATCCATGTCCTGAGAACAAATGCCGACTGGTTTTTATTTAGCTCACAGAATACCACATAGTCTTAGAAAAGAGCCTGGTCTCTGTGTTTACAGATGGATGGATTTACCAAAGCTACCCATGATCAGTGAGACTATCCATGATTACAGTTTGACATTCTAGAAACTTTGGACTCAAGACTAGCTAAATTGCGGTTTTTCCAGCATAAACACCAAATAGAGTTGTTAGGCTCTGGATCAATTGTGAGGTTGATGAAGTAAAAGCCAGTTCTAGTTATCACATAGTTTTGCACCAGTGTAAGCAGAAGAAAGCGTGATAGTGGAATGTGGCCTGCACACAGTTACTTATCTCTGCATAAGAGCATCTAACACATGTCAGTCATCCAATTAGGGAACACTCACAAATCTGCAAGACGGAGCTTGACTTCTCCTGGAGTTGTCCAGTTGTTTGCAAAAGTTTGTCAAATGGTCCTTCGAATAGATTTTTATTTCAGTCCTAGGAACCAACTACTTGTAACCTATTTTTTTATCAAGCCATCATAGCGGATGTTATTTTTATTAGTTCTGTACCATCTGTATCTTAAGCATAAAAGGAAGTTTGAAAAAAGAGTAACAGTATCCAGACAATTTAAGTGATGTGTGACTACTTCAAAATTTCTTCAAAATAAACTCACTGCCATTGAATGGAACCCTATAGGACAGAAATGGAACTGCCCCTGGGGGTTTCCACAACTGTAACTCTTTATGGGAGTAGAAAGCCTCATCCTGCTCTCTAGGGGTGACTGGTGGTTTCGAACTGGTTTTGAGTTCCAAAATGCTGAACTTATGGTTAGTAGCCCATCACATAATCCACTACAGCACCTGGGCTCCTCCCCCTCTATATCATGCAGCTAATTCTCTCAAGTTTATCATGGTATTTGAGAGCACTTCATATATATGTAAGGAGTCCTTCTAGCTCTGAGTGTTAGGCATTGGACTGCCAGCCACAAGGTCAGCTGTTCAAAACACACCAGCTGCTGAAAATAAAAAAAGTTTTCCAGCCTCAGAAACCCAAAACAGAAGTTCTACTCTCTACAGTCATTATGCTACGTTTGGTCACATTTGTATAAGAAAAGTGTAACTCGTAGGCAAAATGTCATGGATCAAGTTTTTGTAATACTCCAGTAAGTGGGAACTGAACCGTTTAAATAAACTGCATTTGCTCTGGGGCAGTTTGTAGCCAGTGAGTTCCTTACAGTGGATCCGCACCAGGGTACTTCACACAGGAGAGTGGTGAAGGGTTGGGCATGAGCTGGAGCTGGCCCTATGGTGGGCAGGGGTCATTGCCTGCACACACCCAAATCCCTGTCCACTGGGCTATGTCAAGTCAGGCAGCAGGATGATGGGGGTGCAGGAGCACACTGCTTCAGCCCCACAAGATGACCTCAAGTGGTCAGTGAGCCCCATCTTACCCAACCCAGGAACACACAGCCACTCTGCTCCTCCAGCTTTCACGTCCACTCGGTAGAGTCTGAACGGTTGGGTGATTCGGGTGGCCTGAGTGAGGCAGCTGAGCCGCTGAAGACGGGCTAGACCATCTGAAACTGCAATACACCAGTCTTATCCTGCAGTGCCCAGACCTTCTAGGCTGGGGGCAGCTGCTCTAGCAATTTCCTCTGTGTCAGAGAAAGGGATTTTCAGAGCAGGGAAGGAATCTTATCAAGAGAGGGGCTGCCTTAGAACTCGAGGGCAGGCTGCTCAGGGTCTGCTACTGGGAGTCAAACTTCTGCATCAACAGACACCAAGGTACAGACTTAACATTACAATTCATTGGATAGAGAAAAAGATGAAAGTAAAGTCATCAACATGTAAAATACGGTGGTAAAGCTTACTTATGAAAATAAGACACAAGTTGCAACAGTATGCAAAATCATAAAACACGTGTCATTTTGAATGAAATTATAATCCTTTAGTATAGCCTGAAAATGAGAAATTTAGTTCACTTTTTCTGAGAAATGTCTTTCATTTTCTTTTTAAAGCATAGTTTGATATACATTATATTTTGTTTAGTGGTTATTTTCTTTTAATGCCTTCATTATACTAATGGTGCCCAAGTTAGGACTAACAATTGTTAAAAAAAATAAAAATGTTGAACAAATATGCACCAAACAAAAGAGTCCCATAACACATTAAGCAACAATTGACAGAAATATAGGAAGAAATAGGTAATTCAACAAGAAATAGAGAATATGTCACTTTCAATAATGACTGGAACGAGCAGATAGAAGTCAGACAAGGACATAGAAATAGACCTCAGACACCTCTAGAATACTACATCCAATATTAACAGAATACACATTCTTCTGAAATGCACATGAAATGTTTTCCAGTATAAACCCAATATTAGCCCCAAAATCAGTTCTCAATAAACATACAAAAGATTCAAACCAAGCAAAATATGTTCTCGAGTTACAATGAAATGAAATTAAATTAATGGAATTAACTTTTAGAAATTCATAAACATGCGCAAATTTAATATCATATTCCTAACTAGCCAAAGAAGAAATCACAGGAAAATTGGAAAACATTTTGAGATGGATGAAAATGAAAATTTAACATACCCAAACTTACAGAATATCATGAAGACAATTCTTAGACAATGTATGCCTTTATTTAAAAAGAATAATATGTAACTACTTTACCAAGCATGATGTTCTTTTCCAGAGATTGGTCTCTCCTGATAGTATGTCCAAAGTACTTGAGATGAAGTCTCACCATACTCACTTCTAAGGAGCATTCTGGCTGTACTTATTCCAAGACAAATTTGTTTGTTCTTCTGGCAGTTCATGGTACTTTCAATATTCTTCATCAATACCATGATTCAAATGCATTAATTCTTCTACAGTCTTCCCTTGTTCAGCTTTCACATGTATATGAGGCGATTGAATAGAGGAAAGAGCTGGGAGGCAAAGGGCATTTGTAGAGGTCTAGATAAAGACATGTACTTATGCAAATATATTTAAATGAGGATGGGGAAATAGATCTATGTGCCTATATTTATAGGTTTAGTATTAAGGTAGCAGAAAGACATTGGGCCTCCAATCAAGTACTCCCTCAATGCAAGAATACTTTTCTTCTATTAAATTGGCATTCTATGATACTCA